TTAAAAATCAGTTTTTATTAAAAAGTACAGGCTGCATATGTGTTCTCAGCCTTGGAGAAACTTGACATGTTTTGGTATGTGTCTGAACCTCTCTTTAGTGGTTAATTAATACAACTGATATTTCAACGTGTGCCTACTTTGTTCATGTACTGTTGAGGTTAATTTCAGTAGTTGTGTGCTATAATGTATTTACAAAGTGTGAAGAGGAGGCAACTTTAGAATAGGGAACCTGTTCAGGTCAATTAGAGTCAAACTACTAGCTTATTGGTTATGAACAAGACTTCACTTTAAAATAGGGAACATATTCTAAGATAGAAATACCTAATTTTGAGTTATTTAGACTTAATTAACACTTATAGTTGCATGTCTTGTTACATAAGAATAGATCATATTTGTTAAGTGTTATTATGGGAGAATTACTATTCTTGTGGTACTACTGCCTTATTAGGCCCATATTGAGCAGAGCATTAAGACCAAAACTCATGTACAACAACTTCCTTACTTGCAATAAATAAGCACTAATTAGAGGGTTATTGAGGAAAAACTCTAAACTAATGGCCTATTACTTGTAGAATATGGTCATGTAGAATAAGGCATTAATAAGTGTTTTATAATGACTAATAAAGAGCCAATATACTGCTAAAATGCATGTTAATTAACAACTTTGATGGTTAATTTGTGTACCTTAATATAAAGTGTTACCGAAAGAAATATTGAAAGAAAGTGCAGTTCATCATAGAGGATCCATATCATAGAGATACAGGAAGTATCAAGGTTTCTTTTAAAGGAGAGATCTCAAAACAAATTGCATATTTAAAACATGACATTTTGTGATCTGGCACTGTGTATCTGCAAAGCTACAATATGTTTTAAAATGTAAGATATGTGAATTTATACTGCATGGATCTTTACTACTTTATATAATAATGAAATAATGAAATCACTGTTTTATAACTCCTTGTGCTAGGACTGGTAAATGAGAAAAAGATTTCCTGTAAAATATTTAATCAATCTTTCAAACTATTACTATTCAATAAATAACTCAAAAGTAATGTTGATATTTGTGCAGATACAAGATCATAATGGATTTAAGAACAGAACATCTTGTGATAAAGTACGATTGTAAAAACAATTACCATATTGTTGGTTTTGGATGACTGTTATCAATTTGAACAAAATAATAACTTAAAAGATTTATGTGCCTGGATTTTCATTTTAGTTATTGTGCAGTCAACCATTAGGCATTTTCCATAAATCCAAGTAGAATATTATATTTGTTAAGGATTGGGGCAGTTTTCAAAAGCACTGTGCTCACTTCTGAAATATCGTTTGCTGCTCCAGGGCACACATCAGATTTTCATTTCAGCATCTCACATTCAAAAGAAATGGTTTGGTTCTAGACTCAATCATTTTGCAGTGACATTTAACAAGAAGATAGGCCAGAATTGTTTAAAAGAAAAGAGGTGAAGACACCAGTTTCTCTGTTGAAAGTAGCCTTTCGTCGATCCAGCTGAAAGACATGTTTTCACACAAGAATCCATCAAAGCAGTTTCACTAATGTACTGCTCTTTCCACCTGCATGTCAAATCAATAAAGAAGTTGAGTGCACAACATGTTCAAATATGCAGGAAGTCACTACCATAAAAAGCACATTATGGCAACGTGAGTACAGCAAACTGCACTCTACTTCACAGATTGATGATCATAGAGTTTTTTCCTTCACTTGCCCAAATGGGCTGTGCTCCTATGATGTCATATATCTCATTAACCTACAGTTTTCAGACCAGCCTCCATTTATATTTCATGAAAGTTTCTGCACAAGTGATTTGTACTGTAACTCATCACATATTCTCTTTGACTGCAAAACATGCTTCCTCTGTGATCCTCCGCAAGATTTAAAAAGGAGCAAATGGGATCCCTGTTATCGATGTACTGTAAGTGTGAAAGGGAGAGAAAAAGAGGAGAATAGAGGAAAGATAATAAGGAACAGAAAGAAGGAGAGAGGAAGACTGAAATAAAACTTGGGGTTGTTTGCTCTTTTGCTAAGAAAACTCAGCAGTCACTACTTGGCTGCCCTTCTCTTTGTCACACACACCTCCCTGGGCCTCAGGAGAGAAAAAACACTGGATCGAGAAAAACACTTTTCAATCTACCTTTGACCTAGAACAAACAATCACAGGGTTGGAGGGTACACACCGGCACAGGAGGAGATAGTGCCAAAAAAACTCGCTGGGATATTTGCCTGCACACAAAGACTGACTGCATAGCACAAGATGACTAAGCCTTGTACAGTCATTTTTTCCATGCATGATGAAATAGTAAATTGGGTAAATCCAGCATTATAGTTTTCATAAGAGCAGACAAACATGCTGATGCAGGGTCACACAGCCATGGGCACACATAGACAGAAAGACCCAAATACAATACAAATCTCTTATAATCTGCTTAGTGCAGCAAAAACTCCTAATATCTTGCTGTAATCATGAAGCATTTTCTAACAATTTCAGTGTGAGTTAGGCATATGTTGATCCCAAGGCTGAATAATTAGATTAGATTTACATCTACGATCCATTATTAGTTATCCAGGGAGAGTTGTGTAATGGAGACATTTTGGTTTATCATGATTACATTTTTCTATCTTTTTTTAAAGTAAGGCAAGGCAAGGCAAGGCAAGTTTATTTATATAGCACCTTTCAACACAAGGTAATTCAAAGTGCTTTACAAAAATGGAAGACATTTTAAAAATGGCATTTAAAATCAGTCATTAAAAAGGAAAGATAATAAAATAAACATTAAAAGAAAAAATACATGGATAAAAGTTAAAAGTTACAGTGCAGTTTAAGATGTGAATAGTTCAATTAAAAGCAGCGGCAAAAAGAAAAGTCTTCAGCCTGGATTTAAAAGTAGTAAGAGTTGCAGCGGACCTGCAGGTTTCTGGGAGTTTGTTCCAGATATTCGGAGCATAATAACTGAATGCTGCTTTACCATGTTTAGTTCTGACTCTGGGGACAGAAAGCTGACCAGTCCCTGAAGACCTGAGGGTTCTGGATGGTTCATAATTTAGCAGTAGGTCAGACATGTATTTTGGGCCTAAACCATTCAAAGCTTTATAAACCAGCAACAATATTTTGAAATCTATTCTTTGACACACAGGAAGCCAGTGTAAAGACTTCAGAACAGGAGTGATGTGATCCACTTTCTTAGTGTTAGTGAGGACTCGAGCAGCGGCGTTCTGAATTAGCTGCAGCTTTCTAATAGATTTTTTAGTGAGGCCTGTAAAGACACCATTGCAGTAGTCGAGTCTACTGAAGATAAAAGCATGGACAAGTTTTTCCAAATCCTGCTGTGACATTAGTCTTTTAATCCTAGATATGTTCTTTAGGTGATAGTAGGCTGATTTAGTAACTGTTTTAATGTGACTGTTGAAACTCAGGTCAGAGTCCATGACTACACCTAGATTTCTGGCTTTATCTGTTGTTTTGAACATTGCAGACTGAAGCTCAGCGCTAACTTTTATACGTTCTGCCTTGGCTCCAAAAACCATTACCTCAGTTTTATCTTTGTTTAATTGGAGAAAGTTCTGACACATCCAGTCATTGATTTGTTCAATGCACTTACTCAGTGTTTGAATTGGAGCATAGTCTCCTGGTGAAATTGTTACGTAGATTTGTGTGTCATCCGCATAGCTATGGTAACTTATTTTGTTGTTTTTCATTATCTGAGCCAGTGGTAGCATGTAGATGTTAAAGAGAAGAGGCCCCAAGATGGAGCCTTGAGGTACCCCACATGTCATATTTGTCAACTCAGATGTGTATTTACCTATAGAAATAAAGTTTTTTCTGTCCTTTAAGTAGGATTCAAACCAATTTAGAACTGTTGCCGAAAGTCCCACCCAGTTTTCTAGTCGGTCTAGTAATATGTTGTGGTCAACAGTGTCAAACGCAGCACTGAGATCTAAGATCTAAAGTAGTATTTTCTCCACAAAGCGTCCGCCTGGTGAAAAACATGACTAGACGACCTTCAGCCGGTTCTCATTAAAGCATCCACCTGAAAAAGGTGTTATTGAGCAATATTTTCTGACTTTCTTTCAAGACAATTTCTGAAGGACTTAAACATTCACCACTTCATATTGGAACATACAATATAAACCTTTATATTCAGATAACATACCTGCCTAATGTGCATATTCTTTTGTAGAATTCAGAGGTTATATACCAGTGTGTACATCTGCAGGATAGTTAAAGTAGGAAAAGCACTGTGCAACAGAAAATACATTTTAATATATATAATCTGTGAAGCTGAAGCAACTTCATATGTTGCAATAGATCGGTGCAGTGACGCTTCCTAAAACCCGGAAGTAAGCTGCGCATGGGTTCCTTCGGGTTCCCTCAACCAAAATGTAATGGCTCGAAATAAGGTCTGTGGTTGACAAACATTTAAGAGACGGATCACGTTTTGTTCAGTCGGATAATCTCCACATGTCTACCCTACTTTTATATTTTTCTAATCATAAATCGGTAAACTGCAAATTAGTTCAACAACTCTCCAGAAGCAAGACAGATAATAGAGATGCGCTGCTGGCTGAGCTATTACCTCTAACTAGACAGACTTTCCACTGTGGGCCTATTATTGTGTGTGTGTGTGTGTGAGTGTGAGTGTGTGTGTGTGTGTGTGTGTGTGTGTGTGTGTGTGTGTGTGTGTGTGTGTGTGTGTGTGTGTGTGTGTGTGTGTGTGTGTGTGTGTGTGTGTGTGTGTGTGTGTGTGTGTGTGTGTGTGTGAGAGTGAGTGCATAGGATAATAGTGTCTTCCACCCTCTTATCTCATGCAGCGAGCAGAAGAAAGGGATTGAGGGCCTCCGGTAATTAGAATGGAGAGCCTCTCCTTTCACTACGCAAATAATGATAGCCCTTCACCTGATGTAGAATATCACCCTGAATCTAAGCTCTCACACACACACACACACACGCACGCACACACGCACACATACACACACAGCTCACCTGCTCCAGTTTCCAGTGGAACTCGGCAGGTCTGAAAGTGTCGACCTGGGTGAAATCTCTTCTGAGCAGGAACACCAGGCGGCAGTTGTGGACGTACAGAGAGTAATGATGGCGGTTCATCTCTGCGAGGGCAAGATCACAAACATACATGGTCACACAGTTAAAGATTATTCATACAATGTTATGTATCAACAAGATTATGCATTCTACAGTATAAGCTGATGTTATGATTTTTGTAATGATTATTATTGATTTTGGGAGGATCCAAAAAAGGTCCTACAGCATCCCCGGTGTCTGTATGTAATGGCAATTAATGATTGGTCCCCCCCCCCCCCCCTGCTTTGACAATACACTGAATCAGCTTTAGATGGGATTAGTTGTGGATGTGAATCTGGTTCTCTTTTGAACACAATTCTTTCTCTACTTACTTTTCCTAAATGGAAATGAATGTTTGTTATTTTATAATCGTATAACTGCAGATAAAAACTATCAATTCCGCCTTCTGGTTGTACTGTATGCCTCCACAAGGTCAAGAGGCAGTGTACATCCATCGGTGTTCGAAATCATCACATCATCATATTATCGTATTAGACATACTGTACACATGTTTCAAAAAGCCTTACGGTATGTGTTTGTGAGGTCACAGTGACCTTTACTTTTGATCCCCAAATTCTAATCAGTTCATCCTTTAGTCCAAGTGGATAGTTATAGCATGCTGAAATATCGTGCTCACAAGACTGGGACAGACGGAAAAACCCCAAAACGTGTCCAAGCAATAATGTGAAAATGAAATATATTTTTGTTAAAGTGATAAAGTTAGGAGTGAACCGTCAAATTCAAAATGTCATAAGCATGTGAAAGAAAAGTGGACCATTGTCAATGTCTGAGGAAAGAAACTGCTCTGTAGTCTGGGGGCACGGTGTTTACATTTATTGTTTTACCATTTTACTTCATGTTGGGTTATAATTCAGTACAATCCTTTATTGTCTCTATAGCACATTTAACCTTTTCTAAAGTATGTCAGTATTAACAACTGAATACAAATATACCCTTTTTGGGTGAAATAATATTATTTATATATATTATAAAGCTGGGAGAATGTCATATCACTTTTGACCTTCTGGTAACAGTCAGTAATGACATCTTGCTATCATATAATGCTTTAATAAGAGTTATTTTGTCCTTATCTCCCACCTTAAATTCCCTAGAGTTAGGCCATCCAAATGATGGAATAAAATAGATGGGTGTTTTTCACACAGTATTGGTGATCTGGCGTTCACGCTGAGCCTTCTGGTACCGTTCACATCCTTAAGCCAAAAAGTTGCAAATGAAAAAAGGGTTTATAAGATTGTAGTGGTTCAACACGAACAGCTCTGCAGTTTTGCATTACAAGATCAGACTGCACATTTCGTAAGCTAATAAGCCATCTGTGAGACCATTGTGAGAGCGTGCAGTGTGCAGATGGCTTGCTTAATTACACAGTTAAGGCAGCTCAGTTCAGTTAGGCAGCCGGGAAAAAGTTTTAAGTTTCAAAGAGCATTTGCTATTGTGAGCGGAAGTCTGGGTTTAATTCTATTGTTATTTTCTTAAACAATGTTTTTTTATCATGTTTTGTTTAAAGTGTTATTCTAAAACTGAGTAAATTATAAATAAAATATTCCGGTATGTTAGACCTAATTAGTTTAAAGTCTTTCCAATTTAAGCAGAAGTGCTTCTCAAATATAGGACAATTAAACTATGGAGATGTGTTTTTTTAACAATGAGTATGTAGGAAATGTATTTCTTACCAGTCTTGTCAGAGTTACACAGCAGGGTTTCCTTCTCCGCTCTGAGGCCCGGACTGGGACCGTGCTTCATCCATGTTGCTATGGTGAACTGGTCTGTGAGGTTTTGGGGCACCACGTGGTCCGGGACATTAGCAGCCTGACGTCCCTCGAACCTGTAGATGAGATCGCTGTCCCGGCCGCTGTCAGTCAGCAGAGACGCTGTCCAGTTTGTGGCAGGGCTGGAGGCAGGAAGTAGGTCGGTGCTGCCTGACGCTGCTCCTGGAACAGCCAATCACAAGATACAACACTGTCATGGCGGCTACTGGAGCAACAACCTGGAGAAAAACTTCCTCTGCAAAACTATGGTTACTACAATACTATCTACATAAAACTTCGATTTGCTATAAAACTTCGATTTGCTAACCTAGCCCATAAGCTAAGATTGATGTGCCATGTACTGTTTATGCAATGATCATTGTTGACAACATGGTATGTTAACTCCGCCTTTGTGACCTGATAATTGCCAAATTTCACAGATGCTTTTAATAGTTTTTTAGAGAAGTTTAAATAATGATGAGGTGTAGGAAACAGTTTTTTCAAAAACAAATGAGTTCTAATTTCTCAAAAGGAATATTTCAAATTAGACTCCAGAAGTAGATATGGCAATGGAAATATGCAAATGAATACAGTGCAGAGGCTAAGATGTCAAGAGGTAATACAAATTGATTATTTTCATTATTATAATAACCTCTTTCTCCCTCATAACACTCAACTCTCAAATTGGATCACACTATTTAAACAAGGAATTTAATTAATCCTTTTTTCTTTTCCCTCTTCTTTTTTCTCTTTACTTACCACACAGTTTCTGCAGAGACTTCTCAGAGTATGTTTCCCGATCGCAGCCCTTCCCGATGTGATTGGTCTGGAGCTCTACCATCGCTTTTACTCCAGACAGGAGACCTCCGCACGTTTCCAAGTGCATCTTGGGAAACAGCTGCCTGCTTCCAGTCCCTGGCTCGTAGTCCACGCGCTTGTTCCAACCTTTAAGGGCCAACATTAGTGTTGTAGTTATTAGTTTAGTCATGTCAGTGGTGTCATTTGTTGCTATGACAGATATAATGACCTGGTAACACATTTGACTATTTGGCATTTAATTACAATTTTGTATGCTTTTAATTCTTAATAATTGCCTTCATTATTTGTGTCTTTATTTCTTGGCTGCATTAAAAATATTCTATTATTATTGCAATGCATATTAGATTTGTATACATAGGAACTTTGTGAATTTGTTTCTTTGAATGTGCTATAAAAAATATATATACTATTATTATGTGATTTATAGGTCTATGGCAAATGTACACACTTTGTTTCCTTACTGCACTAGCTTCTTTACGATATGACAGGCTACAAACATCTATATTAATTTATTTGTGTCATGAAACACTGTCCACTGTAGGAACCACATACGTCTTGTTGCTAAAATGGTTGTCTGTTCTTTTCTGTTCTGACTTTCTGTTTTACTGTAGGAGGTTTCAGAATGAGCATGTGGGTCTTGAAAGAAGGTCAGGCTACCACACAGGCTTGGAATATTCTCAGTAAATGTTTGCCCTGTGCCGAATCAAAAGAAGACTGGAAGGGCCGGTAACATGACAGAAAGAAGGTGCAGACCTGCGTGTAACTGTCAGTCCTGTTGCTCATGTGCTTAAGTGTTGGATAATTCATTACCCAAGTGTTAAATCTATCCCAGATGTACGAAAATCCTTGATTCTCAGTGTTGAAAGGGATTCACTAGCATAATGCACAGGAAAGTGTTTGTGCATGTCTGTGTTTATTTTAACACCTGGCAACTCTTTCCATGGATATAGAATATGATATCAAGTCTCCTGAGACAAAATGTGAAATGATCAGGTAAGCGTGGAGGAGTGAGAGCTGAGGAGGAGAAAACCATAATTAGCCTCTATTTATGCCGGGGAGCGACTGACCTTTTGCACACGCACAATAAATAAGGTTGTGTCCAAAAAGACTTGATATTTGAATGCATAATTGCATTATGTTTTATTCATTAATTCACGCTACCATGGGTTAATGGTTTTACGACAGGATTATGCAGTAAAGCCAATTTTCAGAGCCAAAATCCCAAAGAATCATGCAACATTGATAAGGGTGTTAGAGGGGTATGATAGCAAGGGCTCCTTTGTGATTCAAATGCTAAAAGAAGATTGCCCTGTTGTGCCAGCTGGATCTCAGAAAATATGTTTTCCCATTAAGCAAAATCTTGGAGAAACAGCTGGTACTTCCTCTTTTTCTAAAATATGTTCTGGTTTAGGCTTAGTTTCCCAAAATCAGTGGCCCCTCAGAGCTTTGCAGTGCATGCAGATTACATTTACATGAAGTTGAATGCCATTTCAGACAACTTTCTCAACACTATACTGACTCACTCTGCACCTCCACCCCTTGGAGGTGCACTGACATTTCCCTCAATGTGTGTGTGTCCCTAAAGCCTAAACAACTGGCATTCACGTCCTTTTCAGTAAGAGCACTCTTTGCACTAAAGGATGTTGTCTGTGACATTAGGTCTGCTTTAACTACATGATTCTATAAGCACACAGAGAAATATGAGGCATGTGAGTAGGCAAGTTTCTTTAGGATAGCTGGAAAATGTCTATTCAATCATTGTGAATAAGTATCTCATGGTAATGGGCAACACAGTATTTGGACCTTATATGTCGTTGCCGCAACAGTCTGATAAACTGTAAAACACAAAATGGATGCAACAGCTTAAGTGAATGTCATGTGAGACTGATATTCTACGTATTTTATACATCAAGTTCATTAATAAGGTCAAATCAATCACTTCAAAATATTTTGGCTATTATTATCGTATACAAATGTATCTCACTAATGCCACACCACGGTATTTTTTTTTTTTGTAGCAATACATAAAATTAAAGTGGCACAGCTACTTTGGAATTTCTCCACGTTAGATTAAATTTAGTAAAACAAGGGAAACCTAATAAATAAGAGATTCTTGTATCATCCTGGGTCAGGGAGCTTTATAATAATATAATGGGAATTAATGAAACTGTAAAGATAATAAAACCACAGACGGGGGTTTTAATAACCAACTGGGATCACTTAGAATACTTTTAAAATAACCATCAACTCATTCCTTCTTTATACGTTTATTTCTCTCTTTCCTCCCCCGAATTGTCTCCTTCTTCCTCCCTTTCTGTTATCTTTCCCTGTCTTCCTCTTTCTTTTCTGTGTGAGTTTGACTCCTGAGATGCTCTCAGTGCTGACAGGTGAAGCAGCGGGGGAGACTCGAATACCGAGCTTCTCGCATGTTAAAGGATGAAAAAAAGAACACTCCAGTCAACTTTCCCTCAACTGTCTTCTGATTTTCCTCGAGAGACGTTCAATCTAAAATGAGACAGAATTCCCTACAGAGAAAGGCTACTCTAAAAAGATATGCACCTTCTGCTTACATTTTGTTGGTTTTGCTATCATTTAAGAATATTTAACAAAAAATGAGGGTCCATTTTCTACCAGCAAACTGTCAAATACATCTCTATCAATTGTTACAAGGTTAATAAAGGCATTTTAAACGTGTTTCAGGGACTGTTTATTTATCTCTGACCTTGCCAACCAGGTTTGCAGACAGGCTTCACATCAATATGCACAGCCACATCCTCCTTTGCTCTCTTCTGACCGCAGTCAAAGGCCGTCACCATGATCTTGTAGCTCTTCTGCTTGTCATAGCTCAGCCGCTCTGTGTTTCTGATGTTACCTGAAGGACACCAAAACAAAGAATTATCATGATTATTTTTTGACAGAGGAACAGAAAGGCTTATTTGACAATATTAAGGTAAGAAACATTTGAAAAAAGGATCCTTGAAGGCGAAAACAGCACTTTAGACTTATTGAAATAAATAAAGGTTTGAAATGAAATGAAATGGAAGCCTTTTACCGACACCTCAAGGTCTACTAACCTTGTATTGTGTTAGGATATATAAGCCTTTTGTAACGGTCAATGTAAATTCCCAATGATGGATTCATCATCACCTGTCACCACGGTAACAGTGTGAGATGTAGAAGATGCTCCAGACCAACGTGCCTCGAGTACGGCTGCTAGACGAGGTTATAACTGAAGTTACTTTAGTCATAGAAAGCAACCTGCAGCTGGCTAACTTTACCTATAGTGTTTAATCTTACAGGTACTTAATTTAATGTATTAATTAATACAACTTAACATGATAAAGTGAATTTTTGAATACTGGTGGCAATTGTCATGATGATTGTTTATTGTTTTTATTTTGAACTAGATGCTACATTTTTAATTGTGGCCTTGTTTACAGACTGAAAACATATTTTCCACAACATAAATATATTATTAACCGATTCGTTTAAAGCTCTTATGGTTGGGTAATATTTTGCGTATCTATAATCAAAATTAAATTACTATTTTATTTTACTCTTATGAGCACAAAGATGTTTTATCAATTGTACTCAAAACTGCTTTTGTCATATATCTTTGAGAACAAATATTTCAAAAGTGATCATTAATTTGAGAAACAACAAACATATTTGATGAATTGATAAAGTTTTGATATTATTAAATCTGTGACGATCAGTATCCTTTTGAATATAAAAAGTTTGATCCCAGAACAGCAAACAATAAATATAACCTGACCAAAATAATGTTCAACTGATGATTAAACTTTTTTGATGATTTTTTATTTTATATGTGTGAAAGATACAGATGTTCCTCAAGATAAACAACAGGCTTAAAAATGATGGCATAATCTTATTTTCAAAGATGTTTCACATCATTCATTGCCATCACAGTCCGTCTCTGGCTCTATGAGGAAAACTGAAGCTATTTTTGTTGTTTGCATCTGGAGGCTTTGCTGTATGAAAAGCTGTCACTCTGATTGCTGTCGTGGAGGAGAGGAGAGCAGAAGAGCTGGAAAGAGAAAATAGATTGAGAGGCCAGAGGAGAGGAGGTGCAGAGAGTACAGCAGGAATCAGTGCAGGGCACAGCAGTACAGAAAGGAGAAGATATTTGAAGTGAAGAAAGGTGAGGAGGCCACAGTTCCCACCAACACCTCCCACAGTGACCATTTGATCCACAGCTGGGCTGAACAACAGTAACAGTTAAGGTAGTGGATATCCAACACATTACATTTTTTAACAACAAATAAGTAGAATTTTCTAAAGACAGTTTTATATCCTTAGGTAATTAACAGGCAACATAATCCACTCTGTTGAGCTATAGTGCACATTATGTATTTAGATGTTTCTTATTCTCCTGATAGTTGAAGAGGCAAACATTTTTCACAAGTTGTATTACTTAGCTTGTAAAAACTGTTGCAAAATGACCTATTTGGGTCTGGAGGGGGGATTTCTAAAGATTGTAAAATAAAGCTGATGAATACATTGCATGATCTACTTAACTTTTAGCCACATTTTATATTACGTTTAGAGGGAAACTGATATTCCTCAGATTTTCTTTGGTTTTTGACATTAGATCACAGCACACTTGAAGCCTGGTTTTCTTCAGTTTTTATGTTTTTCTAAACACTTTACAGACATTCTTTGTAATTCATCAATTTGTATTTCACTGCTTTGAGTTAAATTGACTTGAATCAGTGACTCATGCAGTACAGCCTATTATTTACTTTTATATTTGACCATTAACTTCCATTAAAGCACAACATTCCCTTGTCCAATAAGGTAATGCCCTCTGCCTTCCTATTTCTAATTCCAATTTCTATAAAGTTGTTCTTTTTATCCACAGTTTGCTACAATAGGTATCTGCACATTCACTAGTTTTGGCTTTGGTCAAACAAATCTATCTTTAGAGGAGACTTGTTCACATTCATGAGAGGTTCAGACGACTGAGATTATAGAGAAAAAACCAGGAAATAGATTTTTGCTTTTATCAAGACATAGCCCATGCTGTTTGTGTTTGTGTGAGGCAGGAGAAGCAAGGCTATTAGTGTAATTGAAATGTACAGCATGTCCAAGTAAGGTCCAAATGTGTTTTAACCCAAATGTAAAGTAAATGATCCCTAAAATAACAGCCTTCACCCTATTTTGTTTCAGTTGAGAAAGCAGCACCACAGGGCCCATTTGGTAGCTGCTGGAGTTGAAATTTAGATTTCTTTCTGAGTACTTTGAGGATTTCTCACCCATGTTGGCTTAAAAGCAGTAGTTCAAAAGTTCATTCTTAAGGATGACCTGCTGTACAACTCTGTGTGCGTGATACACAAATAATGGCTCTCCAATTTAATAAAAACTCCCAAACTAAAAAGCCTCCAGGCAGACAAAGTGAATCTCACTGAGCTTTCCCTCTCCTTTAGACCCCATTTACACGGGAGCGCAAACGCAAACGGACCAAATTCGTTATCAAAAAAGTATTCCGTTCACACGCATTCGGCTCATTTAACGTGTCCGTTCACACGAGACCACTGGAAACGCTGTAGTACATACGCCGGGCCTGTAAGTGGCGCTGTACTTCCGCACGAGACCGCTCGTAAGCGCTGGAGACGCTGTAGTACATATGCCGGGCCTGTAAGTGGCGCTGTACAAAATACACCAAAAGCAGCTAAGAAGACCCCCAAGCATGGTTGCCATGGTTGCCCTTCTGTTTATGCCCCGCGGTAGATTTAGCAACATGTAGTTCATGCAATTCTCCATGTCCACTTGTTGCTGATGGTTGTGGTAGAGGAGCTGTAGATTTTGCACTAACATCTGTAGCATGGTCGAGCTGTAGATTTTACACTAACATCTGTGGCATGGTCAGTAGCAGTAGCACTAGCAGTAGCTACTGACAGTAGCTACTGACCATGCTACAGCAGTGAGTAGCAGAAGTGGGGCTATGGCTTCATCGTTATCAGGAAATGATCGTATAGGGCGTACACACTGAGCCGTTTGGCCCCCCAGAGCGTTCCGTTATCCACCTTGGGACCCGTTATCGTTTGCGGGGTCCGTTTCCGCGGTTCCGTTACGGCCTCGTGTGAACGAACGGGCTATACGCGAGAGAAAAGTAGCAGATACAACCCGTTTCGTTCTCGTGTAAACACCGCCTTAGACACACACTTCACACCTAATCACATCAGCATTTATGACGACAGTCCAGTCTCTCATTCTACCATGCCAGATTTAAACACACACACACACACACACACTTACCATTGCGGTCGATAGCAAATGGCGTTCCTGCAGTGACAATCTCATAGATGCAGATCTGGCTGTACTGTGGTGAACAGTCTTGGTCCCAAGCTTCCACCTGCAACATAAAAATAATTGCTTTCTTCCCAGTCCTTAATCAACACCAAGAAGACTGTGAACCATCACAACATCCTACGTTTTTGAACAAATCATTTTTTGTGGCATTGAGAGAGGCCACCAAGCGGTCCCTATATGCTTATGTTGGTTTTCCCTTTACCTGTAGTGTGTTATTTGTGTTTTTGTGCATGTAAATCTTCTGCAAAGGCTAAAATCCCAAAGTTCAATCCATTCCCAGCCCCCCCCCCCCCCCCCCCCACCCCTGCCTGAAACGCCTCGATTGTTACTTCTGTGACATGACATCACCATGTCACAGTCGCTCTTATATTGGCTAGCGCTCCAACACATTGTACGGGATAGGTTAAGGGGCGGGGACATCTTTAAGCGGTTGACCAATCACAACAGAGCCGGCCAGCTAACCAATCAGAGCAGAATGGGCTCTGGTTTCAGACAGAGGGTGAAAAGAGGAGCTGCAGCACAGGCAGTATGAGAAAAATAAAGAAGCCTTTTAACATTAAAGCATGTAAACATGTCACAGTAGAGGTACAAAATACAAATATGAAACCTGAAAATGAGCATAAAATGTCCTCTTTAAACCTTCTGAACCTACACAATTATTTGCATAAAACAATGAATCAAAAAACAAAAACAAAGTAATGATACCTTTAAAACATGATATCTAAATACCTGCAAAATGCTGTCGTAGATTTTGCCCTCTGTAACAGATGCCTTGTAAAGTGGCTCCCGAAACACAGGGCTGAACTCATTGACGTCATCCACCTGGATGTGAACCACCGCCCTGAGAGGAGAGGAGGGAAGGGTGTGAAGAAAGTGCAGAGGAAATGATTGATGGATTAAAGGAAAAAGAAGGATGCAGGGAAAGAAGAGATGGATGGAGGGAGGGAGAGAGGAGACAGGGAAAAATCTCTCTAAGTCATTAGAGTTGAAGACAATTAATAAGGACCTAAAGGTACTGTTTATCTTGAGAACAGTGGTTAGTTGAAGGCGGAGCAATGTGAGAGGAAAACAGTTCCTATGTTTGTAGGGAAAATAGATTTATTCCTGAAAATCAGGATTTGGAAGAGTTACCTCTTGATTATCGGTATTTCTTTGTGAAATGGGTTCAAATTATCATCATGTCAATCAAACCTTTATTTAACAGGCATGTTAACGGAAAAAAAGTCGGGTTGTTATTGAAGGTTCCTTCTAACTTCTTCCTTCACTTTCTTTTTAAGAAGCACATAAAAACACACTCTCATTTGCAGGTTGTAAACTTTAAACTCTAATAACATTTGTGCACTAAAGATTATAAGATGAAGCAATAATTTAGATCATATCATGAAATTCTCCTCCCCGGTGACCTTCTCTGACAACAACTCACGGTGTATCTGGAGAATCACATCTGGCTAATTAATGACATTAGCTTAATGAGGCCTATTTAGAATGTCATGCCGTGATAATGTCACATTCACACACACTCACACACACACACACGTTCACTGTGTGTCATCCATCATCCACTGGTGAAATTCATCACAGATTCCTGAGCGGATAACTCTTCCCTCTCTCCCCTTCCTCCTAGTACATGGAGAAGCTTATTTTCCAGCTCTTTGTGTCTGACTGAAAGTCTACAGGGTTGGATTTGCTGCTGTCTATGCCCCATTCTACCTGTCCGTCAATCTCACAAGGAACTGCCACACACACATACTGTATGGATACACATAATATTTATCGGTCATTCGGGGGACATATCCTGAGAGCAGAGCTGTACGTTTCAGCTGTCACTGCTGCCGTGCTCAGAGATCTTGAAAATATATACCAGAAAAGAAAGAACAGAATGTAGAAAAAGTAAAGACATATCCATTGAAAGGTGTTGTTCTTCATTACCTTTAGCTGTGAATGCACAATATATACATTTAAGGGAAGGCTATGGAATGTATTTTCTCTATCTCAAGACACCAAGACAAGTCTGAAGTGCTACAGCAGGACTAGGTTACAAGAAAAAACAAAAAGAGATTCTGGAAAGAAAATAATGCACACTCCAACTCAGACCCATCATGCACGGGACTATAAAACCACAGGTGGGCGGTTCACTTCTGGCCTCTGCAGTTGTGTCAAAAAGTTCAGATCCATTTGAGTCATGCAAAAAACTTGAGCGAGAATCACATTACATATTTGTAAGTTTGATTTCAGTCATTAAAATAGTCATTTGTATTAATTGGGTAGGAAATATAATCAGTATAATGTAGTTAAATGTGTGTCCTGTTTTGTCATTCTTATGTAAGCTTTCAATAAACAATGTCAGAAAGAGGTTTTTTGCATCATTCATTTTTAGGGTAGTATTTCCTAGTGATGTTATAAATGTTCTTGCTGTTTGTGATGGTGAGACTTAACATATTAAAGTTTTCTCTGTTTTTCATGTTCAAGACTTTTTTGAGGCATATGACTCATTTGTGCAGCTGCCTTTGTTACTCTGATGTTCATATTTGTTTGTCAGTCATGTGTCTTTGTCCGCCCACTTTAAATCGATTTACATTGACAGCCAAACAAGCAAATCATGGGAAGATAAATAATAATAAGCAGTATGACAGATTTGATACAGCGTCTAACAATTACCATTTTCATAGCCGAGTTATACAGCAGCATTAAAAAAGCTTCAGAGATGTAAACATGTCAGATAGTCGGGGGTTGCTGGAGTCACAAATGATGTTAAGTGAGTTGTTTAACTGTTATAAAAGATTGAAATATGTCACAATTGTAAACCCACTAATAAATTGTCAGAATTTACTGTCAGTGTTATCTTTTCAAGGGAAGGTCCCACGTCTGGGCAGAAAAACACGCAAGAAACATGTTAGACTAAAAAGTGCCTTAATGACAGCTGAAACAAATACCCCCGCATCACATGGACAGATATTCGTCGACTCACTTGTGGGATTTCTTCCAGTCGGCTCCGCTGGGCCCCGCCCCGCAGTCGTAGGCCTGGATGATGAAGGTGTACTCTTTCTGGCTCTCACAGTCCACCGGGCTGCTGGCCCGCAGGACTCCCTCTCCTGATGTGCGATTCAACACCACGGCCTCGAAGGGAGCATCCTGACCGTAAATCTTAAAGGAGCAAATCTCCCCTAAAAAGACAAGGAAATATCCACATGAAATGGTGTGTTCTTTTACAGGACATTTACACAATAAAAGAAATCAACACAGCTATTGCAGTATTTAAAACAGTATCTCCATGAATTCAACATTTCTGAAGGATTTATTTATTTATTTTGGCAGAGGATAGTAGTTTGTGTATCAGTTGAACATATTAAATATCCCTTGTCTTTATCCGAGAGAAAACAAACCACGAATGTAACAGGCTCCAACAAGCCTGTTCGCCAACAGAGGCTGAAATGTAACTCAGCATGAGGCATATGAATGACAGACGTTGAGGATGATAAATATAGAGGCATTAGGCACGACAACTACAATAACTTGTTACGGGTGTACGCAGCGCGAAAAAATAAATAAAGATAAGGAGAATATGGATAAGAGAAAGAAAACAGAGCCAATGTTGTACATCATAGCTGTGGTGATAAGATATAGGAGATTGTGTGTGTTTCTGATTATTGCTGATAGAATACATGTTTAAACAAAATGTTACTGTGTTTAAACCCTTGTATTTGTATGGATTTTGATTGGCTGCCATTGTTTCTGTTGCTCTGAAAGGGAACCCAACATTATCTTTCACGACTGTTGTAGTAAAACTATTTTATAGTGACAAAAGTAGATATATATGTAGTTATCTTCATAGTAATTAGTCAGTGTAGGCAGCCCTTTATGAGCATAAGAAAAGAAAAGAATAGAAGCATCTCCAATTGCTGGACTCTCTTCATTCACAGATTTTTCATTCATCACATTGCTGGTAAAAGTTTTTTTTTTATTTTGCTTTGTTTGTTCCACCCTTTATCGTACCCTGTAATTGTGTCAAACACAGCAGTAGCTACAAGATAATTGAGGCTGAATCAAATAGGGGTAGTGAAGTACAAAGTAACAATACACACTTTTGCTTGACAGCACAGCTATCACTCCACATTTCAGTCCAAGTGTTATTTCTGGACACAGTGATATTTGTCAGCATGAGTTGGTAATCAAAAAACACATATAACGCTCCTGAGGTGCAGTGAGGAGAAAGATAATTGCTCATGTATGTCAAACTGTGCTAGCTCAACAACAGAGGACATTTGTTGTGTCTCAGCATTGTGTTTTTCTTACGTGTGTGTGTTTCTGTGTGTAGATTTGTGTGAGTTTTGAATCATCCGTGGGGTTTATCCCCTACACAAGTGTTTGTTTCAGGGATTTGGGAAATCTCCTTGCACAGGGAACAAAAGGCTGCAGCGCTCTGACCCTGTGCTGGCTGATATCTCTGCGCACAAAGTGGGACACAGCGGGAACAAAAAGCTTCCGAGCTCTGGGAATTTTGCTTGCATGCTCAAACCCACAGACCACAACAAAGACAAAGTTCCCTCTCGCCATTGGCTTCTTTCCGTCTATCCCCCCTCATCTTCATATCCCACTGCCATGCACACACTTCTATTTTCCCTCTCTCTTCCTTTAAACCTGATTCAACTCAAAATAATTGAAATAATGATGCCTCCAAGCCCAGTGGGCTCCAATGTTTGATCCCCAACCAATGTTAATGATGCCAGGCACTTATATGTTCCCCCTTTACGGTGTTGAAGATGAAAAGGTACCTAATGTGTGATGTGTACTGTATGGAAAAGCAATAATAAACCTTGAAGGTGGTATGGAAAAAAGTCTGCAAATACAAACAAACTGAGCAAATATTGTCCAAGATGGGACCCAAGAGAGATAAATGTGCAGTGATTATAACATACTGCTGCATCCCTTATACATAACCCTCTTGGTGGTTAGGGGAGGGAAAGGTTCATACCCTTAACAGTTTGGGGCAGCTTGAGAATCCATTTTCAGCTCCATGTTGTGGCAAATTCATTTTACGCTGGATTACATTTTACAAGAGAACGTAAGAGTCATGGAGTAGAAGAAAGATGGAGAGAGCACAAGTAAAGGAGGGAGAGATGAGGTGGAATGTGATGTGCCAATGTATATGTAAATGGTAATGACACCGATTTCAGACGGATTCCTACTGTGTCAGCAAATGTGTACACACACACACACACACACACACACACACACACACACACACACACACACACACACACACACACACACACACACACACACACACACACACACACACACACACACACACACACACACACACACACACACACACACACACACACACACACACACACACCACACACACACACACACACACACACACACACACACACACACACACACACACACACACACACACACACACACACACACACACACACACACACACACACACACACACACACACACACACACACACACACACACACACACACACACACACATTTTGCTCCTCAGCAGCCCCAACCAGAGGGAATGCTATAATTTGTGGTGTATGGACAGAGTGAAGCCTAATCTTTTGGCCTTATACATCATGAGGGAAAGGGGTCGCTTTCTAGAGTAAACATCATAGATTTTTGCTCCTGGGCCCCGTGCCATGGCACATTGAGAGTGAGGTGGAAGAGTCAGCAAAAAATTATTTGATAACATTCATCTGAAATACTCCACAGAAAGCTTGAGCGGCATAACCTGCATCGAAGGGAACATGTATTTCACGGGATGTTAAATTGCATATATAATGGGAAAGGACATGATGAATAAAGTTAATGAGAAAATGAAGCCCCACAAAATAACACGTTGTCACAAGGAGCCGAAACAAATGTGTCCATTCCTACCGTAAGTAACAGCAGTTGACAGAGCATTTAATTTCTACAAGTTATTCTTTCATATTTGTTAGATTTAACAGTTGCTTACGCATCATTTTTGAAATCCATGGCTTCTTTTTGAAGGGTAGAAAAATTACTGAATCAGATTTACATATTTCCCTAAAATATATTTGATCTGACTCCATATACTTTCATTTGTATAACTTGGTTGTTGAAATGTCTGTCTTACTTTATGTTTGTGTTCCTGTTTGTATTGATTAAAGCAAAAATCAATGATGATACTAGTGTACCACTTATTGGACATTTTTCAGTTTTCAACTGCAGTATGAGTAATTTCACAATCAGTACCGAAATGTAATGTACCGGTGTTCAAAACACAATGAATGTAATTGAAGATAGCAGTCTGGCAGCAGCATATTGTTCCAAGATGTGGATGGCATGCTGTGAAAATGACTAAACCATTACAGTAATCTGAACAAGGTGTGACAAAGGCCTGAAAAACTTCAAATTAGAGGGTTGATTTGAGCAGCACAATGCAAAAGAAAGCCAACACTATAACTACTACACCAACATGCTCATTAGCACAACTCAGTATACAGAAAAAAAAAGACTAACTGGGGTCAGGAACTGTGGGTAAAACTGCTGTATTCAACGGAGATTGTGGGCTATTCACCCACTGATGCTTAAAGTCCTTTGGGTTAAAGAAGAGGTACAATTTTGTATCATCAGCATGAAAATTAAAGAATATGTCAGGCTGTCCAATAATGTGACTCAAGGAAATATGAGCGGAGACAAATTAGAGGCGAGGAATAAAGTGTTGAATTTATATCTGAAGCGACAAGTTAATACTTCACCAATTAGGGCGGAAGTGTCTGTCTTCTCTAGATTTGAAAAGCTAACGATGTGACACATCACCTTGCGTCGTGATTTTGAATCTGTGACCTGCACTGCAACATTTAAGGAGTCACTTCCAAAGTACTGAAAGCCTCCAGTGAGCCCTCTTTCTGGGTGAAGCCTCGACAGAGAGGGAGTAAATTCAATCATGTTAATTCCTCGTCTTAATCAAATGCTGTTGTGACTCCATCTGTTGTGTCTGTGCCCGTTTGTCTGTCTCTGTGTGGAGCATTAGACAGACATAAAAGCTTCAGTTTCAAGATTTCACTGTGTGTGTGTGTGTGTGTGTGTGTGTGTGTGTGTGTGTGTGTGTGTGTGTGTGTGTGTGTGTGTGTGTGTGTGTGTGTGTGTGTGTGTGTGTGTGTGTGTGTGTGTGTGTGTGTGTAGAGCTTCACGACCTTGATTAAAGTCCTGAGCAGAGTATCAGGCGGTTTTAAGCCCTGATTCCTTCACTCTTGTGCCTTCTGTTGTAAACCCCCGCTCACCCCTGCTCTAGTTTAATTGTCACCGGATTACACTTCATCTGACCCACAGATACACCCTACTGTAACTACCCGCGCAACACATGCACACAATACAGCATGTGTTCACACACACACACACGTACAGTACTGTACATTCTGCGCACAGATAACACACACTGTAAATAGAAATGAGAATTATTCTGAGGGTAAAGGGATGCAGTACAGTGCAACTTTGCTCTGTTTGTCTATACTAGAAGTAAAAATGTACAACTCTTTATGCAACATCCTCTTCTTTCCAGTAGTATTACGAAAATATTCACAGTTTTTGTTTAAATAGCTTAAAAATATATTCAAAGATGTGCGGTCTAAAATGTCACCAGATCCTTGGTGAGGTTGGGGCGTTTCATTGTAGACATAAGAGATTTCCACCAGACGCACCTTTACTCTAAAGATTCCCGCGGCATATGGAGCACATGGCTGTGTCTGACTGAGCAAACAAGGGGACGTGTTATAAGTCTGCTCCGGCTCCAGGGCTTCAATCACTCCAGCTGTCGCCCGGAAGAAAGACCATTTACACTGTAGAACTTCTTAGAACTTCTCAAAGCTTCAAAACACCCCCACTAAATATGTTGACAAACTCACGCCTCAAACTGTGATTTAATGAACATTATGTTTGGGCTCCTGCTGTTCAAAGAACACAGAGTAAGCAGTTAAGGTACCTGTACAGTCTAATCCAGGTCAATGCAAACTTTACATACTGAGACAGAATATTAAAAACACATCTCTGTATCCAACAACACAACACATGCCTTAATCACACATAGGGTACAGGGTTATTATGGTATTGGGTTGCTTTATGTTGAACCTAATTAAATCTAACTGAAATCACATATAATGTCTCCTGTTGAAAACAATGTG